CTGTTAACACTTCTAGTTAGGCAGATCTATTAGCAATAAATTCCCTCAATTTTTGTTTGCTTGAGAAAATCCTTATTTTTTTTTTCATTTTTGGAGGGAAATTTCACAGTAAAAAAATTTAGGTTGGTATGTCTTAACATGTTAAATATTTTACCCTACTCTCTTTTTGCTAGCATGGTTTCTGAAGAGTAGTAAGATGTAAATTTTATCTTTACTCTTCTATAAGTGAATCATTTCCCTTCCCTGTCTCTCACTATTTTCAGGACTTTTCGCTTTGTCTTTGATTTTTTTCGTATTTTGAATATAATACATGCAGTCATAACTTACTTGCTTCTTCCTTTCTTTTTCCTTTAATTTTTATTTTCTCTTATGTTTATCCTTGGGATTCTCTGAATTTTCTGGATCTGTACTTTTGTTTCTGACATTAATTTGGAGGAATTCTCAGTCATTACTGTTTCAAATTTATCTGTGTTCATTTCTCTTATTTTAATCCTTTGGTGTTTTCATTATGTGTGAGTTATGCCTTTTGTATTGTCCCACAATTCTTCAATATTCTCATTTTTTTAAGATTTTATTTCTTTTTGTATTTTAGTCTTCCTTCTTTTCTTTCTTTCTTTCTCTCTCTCTCTCTCCCCCTCCCTCCCTCCCTTCCTTCCTTCCTTCCTTCCTTCCTTCCTTCCTTCCTTCCTTCCTTTCTGTCTTTCTTTCTTTCTGTTGAGGACCAAACTCAAGACTTTGCATGTGCCAGGCAAGTGCTCTACCACTGAGCTAAATCCCCAACCCCTGAATTTTTATTTTCAAGTTTTAGTTTAGAATCCTCAGGTTATGATTTTTTTATTTAATTGTATTCCATCTACTGATAAACCTATAAAAGTCATTCTTTTTTTTCCTGCTACAATTTTTGATCTCTAGCATTTCTTTTTAATTCTTTATTGGAATTTCCATTGCTCTATGTACATTGCCCGTGTGTTCTTGAATGTGGTCCACTTTATCCATTAGTACCAGTGGCATACTAACCACAGTTTTTAAAATTCCTAGACTGATAATTCCAATTTTCATGCTAAATCTGAGTCTGGGTTGGATGCTTTCTCTGTGTCTTCAAACAGTATTATTTGCCTTCTAGTATGCCTTGTGATATTTTTCTTAATAGGCAGATAGGATGTGCTGGGTAAAAAGGAAAAAAAAGAAAACTGTTATTAAGAGACTTTTAGTAATGTGATGGTAAGGGGTCAAGAAAGTGGAAGCATTACATACAGTTTTAGTTTGCAGCAAATTAAGGGACTAATTGTTTTCTGGATATTTGATTTGTTTATGGTTTTCTTTTTCTAAAATTTTTTATTTGTTCTACTTAGTTGTACACGACAGTAGAATGCATTTTAATTCGTCGTACACAAATGGAGTGCAAAGTTTCACTTCTCAGGTTGTACACTGCATAGAGATGCACCATTTGTGCAATCATACATGTACCCAGGGTAATTATGTGCATCTCATTCTACCATCTTTCCTATCCTCTTAACCCCTCCTCACCTTCCCCTTTTGCCCAATCCAAAGTTCCTCAATTCTTCCCATCCTCCTACCCATAGATTAATATCCACTAATCAGAGAAAACATACAGCCTTTAGTTTTTGGGAATTGGCTTACTTCACTTAACATAATCTCCTTCAACTTCATCCATTTATGGCAAATGCCATACTTTTATTCTCTTTTAATGCCGAATAATATTCCATTGTGTATATAACTTTTATTTCAATGGTCTTAATCTATTTGGCAGTCCCATGGGACAAATCACAACCTCAACCTGCAGCAGCACTAGCCTTCTAGGTGAAGACTTTGATATTCTGAATATGATTTTTGGGTTCCAAAAACTTTGGATTCCCAAAGCTCTCTATGATCACCATAGTACCTTCACACTGCATTCTAATTACTCGGTATTTCACTTATGAACTTCATACATACAAGAACATAATTTTTAAATTCCTGCTGTGTATCATTTTCTGGACTATGTATAGAAAACATGGCACTACAGCACTCATTAAAATAAATATAATTCTTGCCCTTGGAGAGTGCGTTTTCTTGATCCCTGTCCCGACTGTGACTTTATCATTAGCCATGTGAGAGCAGGTGCTTCTCCCTCTTCTTTCAATGTGCTGTATGTGCCCAGATGTTTTTGACACTCAAAAGAGGTTTCTTGATTAAGTGAATAAATAATTGCTATCAATCTATAATTTAATTTACTTTATTCAATGAAATATGGGGATAGTCAGTAAAAGAAATGCAATAGATCTTTTTATATCTTTAGATCCCATGCAATTTAAAAGTGTTTTAAAATGGGATGTACATGGTTTAACTAGTGTTTCACACTGAGTTGTGCCATTGTTCTTATATAAGTCTGTGATAGCAAAGGTCAAAGATTTTCTGGGGAGTAGTGTAATCACATTTCATTGAATCTTACCTGTTCCATGAAGCTTTTAGAATCTTCTGCTCAGTTTTCAAATGTTGCATAGAAGCCAGGTGCAGTGACATATGCCTGTAATCCCAGTGGCTCAGGAGTTCAAAGCCAGCCTCAGGAAAAGCGAGGCTAAGCAACTCAGTGAGACCCTGCCTCTAAATAAAATACAAAAAGGGCTGGGGATGTGGCTCAGAGGTTGAGTACCTCTGAGTTCAATCCACAGTATAAAAAATAAATAAATATATAAATATTGCATAAACAGGATCTCAGATTGCCCTTACTTTGCCTGCTAGGCCTTTGTAATTCTATATGTGTAGCTAATAAAGTAGTTAGAATTAGATTTGGTCTCATTTGTATTGTATCCTATGTCTGTACTGAATGGTCTGAACAGGAGATGGTAGTCTTGCTTTAAAAAGGGAAGTACCTGTGTGAGTTCTTTTTCATGAGTAAGATTTGTGATTATCTTCCAACTCCTTGTCTTATTTCATCTTGAGATTTCCATTCCTTTGCTACCTTGGCAGTACCATCTCTTTTTCCAACACCTGGCTTATTATCATTTTCTCTTCTAATATGTTTTTAGAAAAGCACTATTTTTGTGTCATTTTCATCTCATTGCATACACTACTAGACACTTCCTTTGTACTTCAATTATTTCAGTCATTGTAGGGCTTAGGAAGGCAATTTATGTATTGCAGTTCTACCCCACCAGTTGAGTAATAATAATGGACACATCATTTAACCTTTCTAAGTCTCAGTGGGTATACTAATAAACCCTATCTCCTAAGTTTATAAAAAAGATTACATAAAATAATACATGTAAATTGCTTAACACAGTACATAGTATATATTGTTTATTTTTGTTGTTTCTATAATTTATATTAACACTGCCTAATAGATTGTAAACTTCTCAAACCCTGATATCATCTCACAATTTTTCTTGTACTCCCTCATAGAACAGGAGAGTATGCACTCCAACAAATGCTTTTAGAGTCAATGGCTCAAGAGCAAAAAACGAATTAGCTAATAAATGCTGAAAATTTTGATTAATCATGCTTTTCTTACAAATTAAAGATATTTCCCATTTGTCAGTATGCAATATTCTTTAGCATTCAGTTACATAATGTAAAGATCATTCAGATTCATGAAACTGAAAGTGCTATCTATAATGTATATTTTGTAAATGTATACAGATTAAGATGGATTAACTTAAAACTGTAGGATAATCTAAATAGCTACCCTTAAAAAATTACCACTGGCATTTTAATGAAATGTTATTTTACAACTTTAAAGCTCATAGCAATATAATTAGTAATATGTGTAATCTTTATTACCAATCTTAATCTTTTTTATATGACTGAAGAATTATTTTATGGTAGTACAATTAAAATAATGCTAAAAATGTCAGCATAACAGAATTAAACTAAAGTAACTACGACAATATTGTACCCCAAACCAGCTAATTTAAATGCAAAATACTTTGTAAAGGCTATTTATCTGGGCTAATGCATGTTAAGGGATTTAAGGAGTAGTTTGTATAACTGAAATAAAAGGAAAAAAATAAGCACTGTACAGCAATCTTTACTATTGTTTAACATGAGGGAAACATTAAATAGGTTTATATATAGGCCACTTGAGGAAAATATATTAGAAGCCATATCACTACATAGTAAATATAAAGGCAACTGGCAAGCAATGGTGCATTCATAGGCTTTTAAAGGGAAAGCTTGAGATGCTTAAAATTGTCCTTTTACTGCTGATGGTACATTAATTATGACAACTAGACTGAAGATGCCCAGAATTTTACTGGTATGTTCTGTAGAATGGATTTCATAAAGACATAGCATTTGATGATTAGTGCATTACAGTGGTCAGATTTTTTTCCTGAATCTGTTTATATGTCAATTCATAAGAATGACTCTGCCAATTCATTGTTACTATAGGTTAGAATACAGAGAGATTAAAAATAATAATTGTACAAAATAAAACTAAGCTTAGTGTACAAACTTTAGAGGGAAAAAGTAGCAAAATTCACCTAGATTTTTACCATCCACAGAGTATCACGCTTGATACTTGGAACATGAATTTATAGTTTCTCTTACCTGATAAATAATTTTGAATTTTCTTAATTAAAATGTTTTATTATATTACATAGAATATTTATGTGTAATTAAAGGAAGACCAGGAATATATATTATATATAAATCATGTATAATAGTGGATCAGATAGAGTTTTCTTGAATCATTTTAGGCCTTCCTCTTTTTAGATCCTCAAACAGAATTGTTGCTTTTATATTTGATCCTAATTGTTATAGTCATTTCTATAAAAAAGATTGGTGAACATTGAAGGTATTTTAGTATAGCTTAAAAACTTATGGTTCTTAAAAACCATAATCCATTCAAATTGTATACAACTTAGGACAGAATCATAGACCATGGATCTGAGAGATACTAGATGTTGTAGTATTTATTGTTAGAACTCCACTACTGGAAGGAGGATTCTGATTTACCAGATGATGCACCACATTGTATTTGTTTGGTTTTGATTCTGTAGGTCCCAGCACACCTGGAAAGTCCTGCAAGACCTCAGCTACAGCGATCCCAGAAACAGCAAGTAAAACCCTTCATGACCCTTGACCACCAAATCGTCCACCAAACTCTCAAACAGTCACACCCTCCAGGGCCAAGCTGTGTGCTTCTGCCACAACATGGACTTACGAGTCCGGACAGTGATGCTGGCCTCCCAGGAAACCCACTCACTAAGTCACTAGCTCTTGGGAAAGAAGATGGCAGTGAGGAATGGCATGTATGTCTAGTGGCTGGTTGTGAAAACTGTGTCACCAGTGTTTGAGAAAAACACTTAAAGGAATTGCAATCAACATGTTTATAGTAAACATTCCAAATGCAAATTAACTTAACAGAAGTAATGCTCTAATTAATCTGTAATCATGCATTATATATATATTAGTTATTGTGCATAGTAAATTGCAATGATTCATTTTAAATATTTCAATTAGATACTAACAAGAGTCAAAATAGGCCCTAAGAGTAACATATGTTTATAAGATTTAACTTTAATTTTATAGATTTCCTGAGTAACTTCTGTTGAAATACTTGTCAATAGTTATATTATCTTAAGTAACCACTAATATAAAACAGGTGCAACTTATTTAAATAGCAGTAAATTTGTGCTTTAAAAATATTCACTAGAATAAAATTAAAAATCTTATTGTACTTACTATTTCATTAAATTACATCTGGATTTATTTTTACTTTTTATTTTCAGTATATTAATGTCTATTTTTAAACATAATTGTCTACCACTTGCTAAATAATAGGAATTTAGTGGGGCTGAGGATAGAACATTCATAAGGTTTTATGGAGTTTATGTTTATTGTGACTTGCTTTTAAATGAATCTTCAAAAAAAAAACACTTAAGAATGAATGGAAATAGATCACAACTGGAACTTGAAAAAGCACTTTAATATCTCAATGTAGATAAACTACAATAACTGAGCTCTCTTTTCTTTTTCTTTGTCCCCCTTTGATTTGTTAGATGGAGCCATGTTCCTATGATCTCCCAGGATTAATCTCCCAATCTAAATTCCTGGTGATTACTGCTGATTTCAGGATGATACTTTTCAGCTATTAAGTCTGTGGCCTCCAAGCACAAAAGAGCAGTGTTCAGAAATTCCATTATTTGAATCCAAATTATAGAGGAAGTTTTTTTAGACAAATTTTATATCAATCTGAAAAAGAGAAAATAAGGATCTGGTAGGTGGTTTAATGAAATATGAAACAACCACATATTAGGACACTGTAAAAGTCAAAATGGAATGTAAATCTCTCCACATGTTTTTACTTGAAACTTTTTTGATAGTGGACACATAAAGAACTTTCCAAAAATACAATGTAGAACCAGGTTTTCTATTCACTCTTCAGAGATTATAAAAATATGTGTTGGATGAAAATCATCATTTCTACGTTATTTGTTAGAACTACACCAATACAATTTATCTTACAACTACCTTTTATAAAGTTTATTTTCTTGTATGAAAGATGGATTTTTAAGGGAAAACAACATTTCCTAAGTACATGAATATACCAGTCATATGTAGGCAAACCCCCAAAATGTTCATGTATCTTATAAATCATGCCTTTTAAATTTAGATGGATAAGCAATTTATATGTCTCCAGAGGTTTTCTTAATTTTTTTTTTTTTTGTATTGGGGATTAAACTCAGGGGCATTTATCCACTGAGCTACATCCCCAGACCTTTTAAAAAGTATTTTATTAGAGAGGGTCTCACTAAGTTGCTGAGGCTTGCTTCTGCCTCAGCCTCCTGAGACAGTGGAATTACTCCTAGCATGTTTTTTATTCCTTAGGCACACATCTTACTTTTGTCTTTATGATAAGTTTGTACATACACAGGAATTTTGTCTTTATTGGTCCTTTAGGTGTTTCCTGGGATGGGTTGAAAATCCTAAGAAAGAAATTCCTAGGGGCAATGTGAAAATGGCTGCAAAGAAAGTTTTCTGTTTTTTAAACAATTGTACTTTAAACTGTGTATACAAAAGTGCATTTTATAGCCATCATTAATGTTCATTTAATCATAATTTTATTTGTTCTTTAATCATTTTAATCGGTGTATGATCTCTAGCTTATCATGTACATATAGTCCTCCCCCACCCCCTCAACCATCCACAGACCTACTATCTTTAATAAAGGAGGAACCCTGTGCTGTTGCCATTTCCTAATATCATTTGATTGTTGCTAGAAGTCCATGCCTCATAGCAGAAAGTCTCTTTGTACAGAAATTTTAGTAGAGAACCACAACCTCTTAGTTGTGGGGCCTCAGCCCTCAACATTTCTCACCTGCATTTCTATACCTTGAAGAGTTATTGATGTTAATGTTTTAAGAGTTCCAAACACAAAGCTCAGAGTGGGAGCTGTTACCGCTCTTTGGTGTTTTTTCTAAGCATTGTCCTCCTATGACACCAGGGAAGATTTCTTTAATTCAAAGAAGACTTCAGAAATCATAGGTACCACAAGACTAGTCAGTGAAAAAGCATCCTTGGATTCAGGATATAGTGATTGAAATTAGTAATAACTTGGTTATTAAAGATCTCTGAGAGACATCAAATCAACAGAATGATTTTATAAGCACATGTCTTTCCAGGATACAATTCAAATTTGTACAGAGAACACATAGAGAATCTTCTACACTGGACCCTTACTCCTGGCATGAAGTTGTTTGTCAGCATCCCATGGAGTTCTGCCCTTCAGCCATATGAGATCGCTAGTGGTTCTCATGGTGGTTCTCCTTCTCCTATCTTTCTTTCCCCCCTTTTCGTTCAATCTTTACCTGTTGTCTGAATAATTCCACTCACCCTGAAAATGGATTTCAAGTTTCTTCTCTAAGATGCTTTCCCTGGTGATTCTCTGTCTGGATTTGATGCCTATTCTCTGAGTTTTTATGGCAATGTTTATATCACATGGGGTATAAAACTGCACTCCTTATACTGTTTTCATAGCACATCTCCCTTTTATAAATATTCACTTAATTTTTCTTATTCTCCAGTTCATTAATTGTTTGATGAAAATGGCTTGTCTTATTCATATTTACATACCTAGCTCCTAAGATGATTTTCTGCAAAATTCTAGTACAGGTTTTGAGCAAAATTATGAGTCAATGAATAATTCAGTCATCCAGCCCTTGGTATTCATGGTTCTGCCATTCATATAGAGTTTGAGTTCCATGAGAGCAGATACTTTATAGTCATGACCATTGTGTTTCCAGTTCTTACAACACAACCTCACAATAAGCATCATTTAATAAGTATTTGTTAAATTAATATATGAATAGTGATCTGATTTATTGCAAAATTATCTGAAAGTATCTCAACATTTGATTTAAATTTGCCAAAATCTTGCTTAGAAGATAACATTGATGGGATCTTAAGATATTTTTTCAAACTTAGTGGAGTTTACTCCTGGTTGTTTCTGCACATTTTATAAAGATTAGAAATACTACATTCATATAAATCAGCCTTCACACGATTTTTGAGTTTATATCATATTTTAAAATTTTACTGAAGAGAATATAATTGGATAAAAAATATTTAGAGCAGTCGCAGGGAGAGAGACAGAACGAGAGAGAGAGAGAGAGAGAGAGAGAGAGAGAGATAATCATTTTTTTTTTAAATATAAACTTTTAAGATATTCTTTAGCTTAAGTCTTCTTTGCAGTAGAAGGAAGATTATTTTAGAAAGGAGCTGAGGATGAGAATAGAAAGTTGACTGAAGTTACAACTATTGAGCCAGTGTTAGGAGTCCAATCCTGCCTCTGCCACTCACTAACTATGTGACTTGGGATGAGGTATTGATCATCTAACAGTTTCTTCAGCTGTTTAATTCAGATAATAATAGTACCTACCTTGTGGGTTGTTGTGACAATTAAATGACCCAGTGTATGCAAAGCACTTAAAAGGGTGCCTGGCACATTTCATGTACTATGTAGGTATTTTATATTGTTACTGTTTAATGAATAGTTTTGTTGTTTACTGCTATTGCTATTATTATTCATCAGAGAAGGTAGAATAATATGTCTCCACATATTCTGTATCCACATCCTCTAGCCAGCTAAAAATTGACCATTGACATTTAGACATCTATCTGTAAGAGAAAATCAAAACATTTTAAAAGAAAAATGATGCTTATATGGAATCATCTCTCTATATGTTAAATTTATGGGCTCTGGGATGAAATACTTCATGTGAAACAGTATTTTTATCACTACTGATTTCCAAAAGAGTATCTTTCTCCATTGTCACCTGAGAATTCATGGAAGCAAATGGACCAGAGTGTCAGGGTGACCTCCATTTTCAGTTCTAAAGTATTCTGAGTTTTTACATATATATAACCTCAATTTAAACATATTAAAACAACTTAAAAGTTACTAGAATTATTCTCTGTAACTTCAGAGTGAAGGTCTACTTTTATCATTATACACATTATTTTAAGCATATATTTTATAAAATTTATATTTTGCTAGATGGAAAACATTTTTGAGAATATAATGGGTATGGAATCAAGTTTTAAAGAGGAAAGAACAGACTCTCCTTTGCTAGTGTGTGCGCGCGCACACACACACACACACAAATAATGTTTCCAAACCCAAGGAAGGCAATGAGACTGAAATGCTGAAATAAATAATTTGATGATTTAAAAAAGAAAGAAATTTAATTTGTTTATCAAAAGGTGTTTTCTTCTGCACTTTCAAAACAGACAGAGATAACAGAAAAATATTAATAAGCATTTGTTGGTGCAGACCAAAGCTTATATCATGTCACTGAGAATATTATAGAGTTCATTCTAGTATCTTTTTCTGTCTGTACCTCTGTCTGTCTCTTGGGGTATTTGATCTCTACATACATGCATGTAATTATATAGTTAATCCAACACAACATTTTCTATGATTTAATCTTTATATTTTCTATTTGAGCTCAGCATGTTGTCTAACATCTTCATGCGGTCATGATTCAGTTTTGACTATTTTACCATGACTAATAGCTATGAGATTTAGAGGCTCTGCACCTTTGTACAGGACAGAAAAAGAGCACAACAAAAGAACATATAAATTTTTTTTTTAGTCAATAACTGGAGCTTAAATATAAACTTAAGAAAGAGAAAGATATAACAGGCCTCACCCTACTTTAAAGTATGTGGCAAACTTCTGTGTTGAAATCAGTCCAAATTCCTAGAACAATATTCCATGAAGGCATGATATCTTATCTCCTATTCAACT